CTAAACCTGAACAATGGCTTTGTCTATAACCGTAGAAAGATTTATACTTTAAAATCCAAATCATAATTACGGATCCAAAATAATTTTGCAAACACGTAAGAGGGTCTCTAAAAGACCACGAAATAGGTTACACCAACGAACATCCAGGTTTTAACATTTTCCTAGTCATGTCGCAAACTCTTTGCCCATTATCGCATTCACAACAAAATTTCTAAAAAAAAAAAAAAAAAAAAAAAAAAAAAAATTTGTGCGACATTCACAAACTTTAAAACTCACAGTGTGACCGAAGAGATCATTATATAATAAATTGTTATACCATTAATTCAATAGAAGATATGATGATAACGACGAATGTGGTGGTTTCGCCATGGTGACGTAATTGATAATTGTTTTAACGTCCCGAGAAAAGTTCCTAGAAACATATTGTAAAGCGCCTTTGAACATTTTATGAAATGGGCATTATATAAATCTATGATAATGATAATAATATAATATGTTTTTTGTATTTTAGGACGGGTTTTGGTGGTTGGTAATGTTGACCTCTGTGTTGAAGTTAGAGATTAGTTTCTTGATCTATGCTTATTGCTAGGAGTGAAAGATTGTGAATTATACCCGTCCGATTGATGTGAATAATGATCAAGATGAACATCAAGATAGAACATTAATTTAATTAAAAGTTAATTTTAAAGTCAAGGAGCTTAAGATTAGAAACCAGTCGGATAAGTGAATTATAAATACAAATATATAATCGGATTTCACGCTTTCAAGTAGGGTTACGGGCATTACAGGGTTGAGATGACTTCTGTTACGTTAATATAATGAAATTAAGTTTAATGTCTTATATACTTTTGTGCAATAACAAGCTAATGAAGACGGGCATATATAATTTGAGTGGGTAGTGACGTTTCCGCATACTCGTTAGCGAATCCCAACTGTCAAGGGGTCTTTTTCATTCACCTCGAACCTTGGGTTTTCCACCCATTCGAGTCACAACATACTACCCCTGTACAACACCTGTTTTACATAATTATACGAATAGAATTAGCTCTTCTCGATATACCACTTATTTTACAGATATGATTCTAATCTGGAAAGGATGCAAATTGTTTAGCCTCGTGTCACTCGGTAATACCTGCTGTTACCTTAAACAGTTTCGTTATGAAATATAGGTTCCTCGCCTTCTTTTGTCTGATAACCTAGTAACCTCAGTGGGGGCGAGGGTGTTTAATAAACATTAATCGCTGTTTAACATAGGCAAATATTATACACTTCACCCGATGAGAGTTACGTCCCTTTGCCAACTTCCTTTGCAATGAACGATCTGTGGGATTGGTCGATAAAAATAGCACTATCATCAAGGGCGGATAACTTGAAAACGTGCCCACCCCCTCCCCACTGAGGGCACCGAGGATGTGTCTGTTCCAGCTGATACTTCAACTCGAAAATTGCTTGCCATTTTTTTCATTCTTTAATTAAAATGGCTAAAACTTGTGACATACTTAAAATTTTGAGACTTTATAGCTCTGTTAGAGAGCAAAGTCTGGGAATGTGGCATTTTTTAGAAAATGTTTTAGTTTTCAAATTTTTTGCTTGAAACTACGCGAAAACATTTATGTACTGATCAGCTGGCAAAACATGCCAAACACGAATTTACTTAAAATATCTTCCGTCCTAGATAAAGCCTTTAGCGTATAAACTGGGTAATAATTATCCGACTGACCCAGATTTACAATAATCTTCGAAAACGTGCATTTTTTTTTACCTTTTCGGAAAACTTTTGCGGGTTAAAAATTTATCTGCCCTTGTAAATGAGCAGAGCAAGACGAAAGCCAATTTTCGAATTTTGTTTTCCTACAATTTGAATCATAAGACTGAACATAACTGTTTTTAAAGGCGTATTAGTCATCAGAGCAAACGAAAATCCATAATTCATTTCCGGGAGTGTCAATATACATGTACATGTATTCCTTTATCATTATCTATTTTTAAACTATTATATTTAAACTAGCAGGCATATATGCCGTGTTATTAATTTTATAACTGTCTAATAATATTTTATGAAAGTAGTTTTATTTTTGTTGATGTTTTCATTGGGAATTACGCTACATAGAAAATTAGTTGATCACCATGCCAGTTTTAGCTCATGTTAAAATTTCCAATAGTTCTCAAGGCAAATTTTAAGCCACTGAATAACTATGCAAACCCTCATAACCAGTGGATATTGTGAACCGAGTTATTTTTGAGTATGTCCTGTAGCCTCCTTCCAAAATTTCATCACGTGTCTGAGGCAATAGCAGGTTAAAATTTGTATGTAGCTTATATGGTTATCAAAAAGTTCCGACCCTCGGACCGATAACTAGGCCAAACATGGCTGTTTACAGTACCAAGATGTCAACAAACCACGATTTCTCAAGAGAGAAAAGCTATATAGCCTGATCTGAATTTAATTCTCACAAGACAGAGAACAATGGGATGACCATTCCAGTTATTTCACAATGTTTTAGCCATTTTAAATAAAAACTAAAGAAATGGCAAGCAATTTTCGAGTCGCAGTACCACCTGGAACAGACAGTAATTAAATCAGCACATCATTCCATTTTCTCGCCTAAAATGACCACCATCTTAGAAATATCTTCATGGCGTGGTGGAATAAACTCTGAAATATAGTCATGGCCCATGCCGATATTCATACAGTGCCAAATCCGACTTGATATGTCGATAACATTATAAACAAGTTAAAACTAAGAAATAAGTTGCAATATTATAGGCCTAATAACAGCGCCCCTACTATGAACACCCACATAGATAAAATGTAAACATTGTTTTTTGAATAAAAGTAAACATAAAAACCTTTAAAACCAAACTCATTCCACGATTTCTACCCGAAAAGCCGGCGGATTGGAATTCCGTAACAAAACAGACCGGCCTATAAACCTTTCAACTATTCCAGTGACGTAATTATGGTATTTCCCTATGACAAAGTTTGTAATAAGACTTATTTTCCAAGAGAAAACGTTTTTAAGTGTTTGAATATTTGATTGTACACTGACTTTTATTGTACTGGAGGTGATTTGAAAAATATCGATAACCATGTTGGTAGTTTTTTGACACCTCTACTTCTTGTTACGTACTAGTGTGTGATCGAAACTGTAACACTTGACACACCAACGGGGTATACAAACTCAACTCAACCACGAATTGTGTGTTATAGCCTCTCCATTCCTGTTACCTATGCCGATTCACGTTGCCATGTAAAGGTTCTTTCACAGTAGGCTTATTGGAATTATTTGGGCGTTTTGTTTAGGTTGGTGTGCGTGTTGACGAGGGAGGAGGGGGTAATGATAATCTGTTCTTTAAACTCCCAAAAAGATATAAAACACTAAAGGCTATTGTTATATGTAACAGCATTACAAAAGAAATTCGACTGAAGGCCAAACACTTTGAACCACATCGATGATATCATTTATACATTAGTGTAATGAAAGAGCAGATTTAATGCAAGACAGTTTATATTATGCAGGTTGCGAAATACAAATCAATGATACCAATAAATACACTATAGTTTATATTGCCACTGTTAACTGAACTTCAAAAGCAACAGTACAAAAGCGAAATAAAATGAAACGAAATGGGGTTTAACGTCGCACTTTTTCATATCAGCCCGACTAATGAAGACGGGCATATGTCATGCAGTGTACTGTGGGGGACATTTTGTCCGGCCTACTCTTATTTCGAATTCCTTCGCCAACCTATACGACTATTCACGCAACCTTGCCAGGCCCCCCATCTGCACTACTTAAGTATAACGTTTAAAGGGTTTTCCTTACGACTACCATACATGTTGTTTTCTTCCAAAATTCCCCCCATAGCACACTGTATGTCCGTGGTTCCGATTCCCCACTTGTACGTGACAAGGAGTGGGATCGTATGTCCAACCACGTGGGTTTTCTCCGGGTCCTCCGGTTCCCTCCTACTGCTAAAGACCCCTACGCGCAAGCGGATGAGAATAGTAGGACGTTAAATACGGTCAAATCCCATTTCATTTCATTTCCATTTAAAAAAAAAAACATTATAAATTCCATATAGATTATATAAACCCTGTCATTACCGGTATACTTTTTTATATTGTGAATCGAAAAACCGATAACTTTTAATCATGTAATTTTGTTTACGAGTTAACGATCAGTTCTTTTCTTTTCGATTTGTAAGACAATGCGTGTATATGGGATGTATTTTATTCTACCGGGATACGGTTTAATAGGCTTCCGCTATATAATGATTTACGTATAAGTCGTCACGGTTAGAATGAAGAAGTGCGCTATGACACTGTAAAAACATCGTTGTCAGACTGGTGGTTTTAAGACAAAATAACCCTTTACATAGGGTTTCGATCCCGACGTTGACCGAGAAAGTTCCTCTCGGGGATTTTCCATCCTGGCTTCCACATTGTTAGTGGTTCGTATTGGACGAAAAATTAAACATGTTTACAAATTTATCCCTAGTTACCCATAGACACATCCTATCGGGATCTTAAGAATGGGGCACCCACTGCATAATGCAGTTATGGGCATATTATTAGTACCCAGAGGCCCCACCCCTCCCCACCTCGCCCGACAATCAGTAAAATATTTACAATTCCCTTTCGGGGTTTAGGTAGCGAATCCCGTGTAAAAATGCTCCAGTTTTGAGTGCATTTCTATCTATGGTTAATAATATTTCGCACATGTCGCTATGAAAACCCACCCCACCCCTTCCACTCTCGATTATCATAACACACCACTAGTGTGTTTGTTCCCGGTTAAAATCAATTCAACTAAAACAGAGCTTATGTGGCCATATTATTTTACTCTAAGTTCAATAACTTCTTATAAGCTTCTCCTTCTTTTGTATGCATAATTAAAAGGTTTATTTCATTATGAAGAGAAAGATCGATATATTAAACCCTAGCTTTATGTGATTGAAAAATTAGTATATATTAATAGATCAGTCATTAGGATTTCACGGACGGACGTCATCAAGGTGTCATTTATAGAGCAGTCGGTTTTCAGTTTCTCTTCTTTTGTGACTGATGGAATGGAGAGGTATATTGTTAATTTTGTGATTCTTCATGTCACAAATTATGTTCTTATCGGTAAGTGTAATTAACATATAAGTAATTTAGAAACTTGCAAAATTTTTTCTTGAGGGGTTGAATGGGATGCGTGTGCAGACTAGTTTCATTATGCCCCAAATTGATTTTGAAGGAGGGGGGGGGGGATTCGTTGTTTTATAATTCTAGATATAGCGATTATTTAGGTTTCATCTATCCAGATGAGTTAGATTGAAAAAACAACCGTCACTGACCAAAATATTAAACTTATTGGAAGGATTTAAGTTTTCCTATTGTTAATCTTCCTTTGTATGCTGCAATATACCCCAACCATCAATCATACTATTCTCAATATGCCGTTACAAATGTTTTTATTTTTTGCAAATGGGGATAAAAATGGTCACTAGCACTGGTGTTCAATATAATCTACGATCTACAATGTGTTTAAATCGCTCAGAATTCAAATACAATAATTGAAAACATACAAGATTAAAATCTTATAATTACGATAGCCCTTTATTCAAAACAAAATGCTACTTCAAGGTTCATAATATCAACTTTTAATATCTAAACCATTTGTACAGATTTCCAACAAAGGAAACTAGTCATCTGGTAGCAATAATTATTTCTTTATTATTCTTTTTAAAAAGGGGGCCAGTAATCAATGACACGATTTGGTTAACTGTGCCCAGAGAAATCGAACAAGTCTAATACACTATTAGCTTCAACAAAGCATATCATTTTATTCAGCGTATGTAATAGTAATTGGTGGAATATAAACTTTAACCATTATTCGTACAGATTTCGAAAGGCTTTTGATGCTGTTTCATGTAGATTCGTTAATAATTCTTTAATTTTGGACAACTTATAGGGAAATTGGCGAAAAACTGATTTCAAGCCCTGCTTTAAATAATTTTGGTAAATCGAGTGAGTTCCTTGCGATTAGGCGTAGCTGCAGACACGGATATCCGTTATAATTTAATAAGAAACATCAAATGCAGATGACCCGGCTCTAACCACTTGAAAAATCTGCTTAATTAATTCGCAAAATATTATGTTTCATATCTAAACCAGGCAAAACGGCGGGTAGGTGGGGTGGGGATGATTGAAAGATTTCTAAATGTTAAAATGAACCCAAACCACTTTAAACTGGAAAATATTGGGTTTAAGACACTAGGAATACAATATAGCACTAATATTGAAAATTAATTAATCTGAAAATTACATGGTTCAGGTGATTTTTGAAACATCAAAATCTTGCAGGGGTAAAAGAGTGAGTTGCTTCTTTACCAGATAACAGTTAGAGGGATGATTTTTATACGCCCACATTTTAACATGGACGTAATATAATCGTCGCCCCTATCCGTCTTGGCGTTTCTCCACCCGTCCACAATTTGTTTGATGAAACTTGAAATATAGATTTATATAGGTTTCTGTCGATATTGGCATGTATCGGATCGTAACTTCATGGATTATGGCCCCTGATTGTACGAAAAATCACGTTTTAGCGTGTGGACACGTCACAATTGTTATCCGATTTTGATGAAACTTGAAATATATGTTTATAACCGAACGATCTCGGTTCCAGTCAATATTTGCTCATAACTTCCTGGCCCCTGATTGAACGAAAAATCACGTCTTTAGTGTGTGTCCCTCTAGAGGTCACAATTTTTATCCGATTTAGGGGTCTAGGTCGTCGGAGACGCGTTCTGGGTGATTTCTGCCTCATAAAATTACTCTGCAAAGTAGTGGAGTTGTAATTCTTGCCCAAATCCCTTAAAGCGAGAATTTCAAATTTTCTAAGAAAGTCAAAACATAATTATTTCTATGTCTTTTGCTCAATAGGTTATCAAATCACTATTATACGATCATGGGCATTATTTCCCACCCTTAAAAATCTATGACACAGGAAATAACAACACAATTACCTCCCCTGTTTTGCTATTGACAACATGGGGCAGCCATTTTCCAACGTTAGAATTTGAAGTTAAAAATGATATTTTTGCCAATTTCTCAGCTGGCAATAGCGAATTATAGGATTAATAGGATTATTCTTTAACAAGGTAGGACTGTTTATTGATACCATCTATTTTAAGGCTTTATTTTAATACATTTTAAAAATATAACTTGAAAATTTGCAATTGCAACTGAAAACACGGTCGATGGTGGTTTCCTGTGATGTTGAACTGGAAAAATATATGCATAAAAACATAGACCAGGCACACTGTGTTAATTTGATGGTATTAATTAGTATTAACAATAGGCGATCTGTATTTATACATCAACGATATAGAGGTTGTTGCGTTTTCCATCATTGGTATACATATAATATATCGCAGTATATACAACAATTTGAGAGTACGGACAAGTTTAGTTTCAGAAAAGTTTAGTTTCTTGTGTCTCCACTACGGTATTCAGACAAGTTTAGTTTCTTTTTTTCCACTCTAGCATTCAGACAAGTTTAGTTTCTTGTTTTCCACTACGGCATTCAAGCAAGTTTAGTTCCCCGTTTCTCCACTACGGCGTTAAGACAGGTTTGGTTTCTTGTAGCTCTACTACGGAGTTGACAATTAAACAAATAACCAATTCCACATCCATACAGTTGATTATATATAGTATCGCCATCGAGGCAGTGCTTGTGTCACGATGGACACTCATGACGAGGAAAAGACTGTGGCCAAAGGGGCGAAACAGAGTAAGCGCCAATCTTCAGAACCAAAAGATATACAAGTAGCACGAAAAAACTGTTATCAATGAGAATGTTCTTTCAACCAAAACCTGTAACTAACGCAACTCCAAAGCATTCAGAAACTGTTGATGCTGAATGGCCGTCCTGTTCAGCCGAATCCACATCAGCCGTAAACACTGACAAAGCCGAATTGTCGGTTGATTTAAAGATACCTGTGTTGGTAGAAGAGCGCAAAGACGATGTTAATACCACCGGAATGATACCAGTAACATTTCTATCCTCTCTGCTTCATCAACCATTTGACAGGACATTTCCGAAACGCCAGTTTGGAAGACAGTATAGAACTTTTGTATCCTCTTGGTTCAAGAAGTATCCGTAGTTACACTACTGCGAAAGTGCTGATATGGCCCTCTGCTACCTCTGCATGAAAGCACCTCTTCTAGGCTGTACTAAAAAGGATGATAGGTTCTTAAAGACAGGGTTCGGTAATTGGAAAAAGGCGATTGAAAAGTTTGATAAACACCAAAAACGTTTATATCACAGGACTGCGTTGGAAGAAAACGCCCTTGTCTCAAAATGTGGTGACATTGGAGAAACCTTGTCTACACTATACATCAAAAGGAAAAGTATGCAAACCGTCAAATTGTCCTCGAAATTCATGGGACTGTACGTTTTTTTTTAGCGCCTTGGGCTCTACCGCTAAGGGGCGACGACGATCAGGAAAGCAATCTTTGGCAATTGCTCAAATTCCATGAACAGATAGATCAAAGTGTTCAGGATTGGTTGAAAAAACCTACCGATACTTACATCAGAACGAGCAGCTTCAAATTATGGCACTCGGTGTTTTAAGGAAGATTGCGGCAGATATTCACAAAGGGGTGTGGTATACAATCATGGGCGATGCGACTGTTGATGTTTCAAACAAAGAGCAGCTTGTAATCTGCATCCGTTGGATCAACGATCAGTTGAAGGTAGAGGAAGCATTCATTGGAATGTACCATGTACATAACATCAAGTCTGACACGTTAGTGGCTGCTATAAAGGATGTGCTCCTTCGACCTAACCTTTCAATGGCAGACGCCAGGGGAGAGTGCTATGAGTATGATGGAGCTGCTAACATGGCAGGTTGCAAAACCGGGTAGCCTCGCAGATCCAAATGGAAGCACCAAGGGCTGTTTTCACACATTGTTATGGTCATAGCCTACAGCTAGCTATAAGCGATACAGTGAAAGGTATCAAAGAAGCAAGGGATGTTTTGGACATTATACAAGAAATAACAAAGTTAATTAAGTACACCCCTAAGCGCAACACACTCATGGACAAACTAAAACGACTCCTAGCCCCCGACACCCCAGGTTTCCGAGTCCTTTGTCCATCACGCTGGACGGTTTGTGACAATTCCCTTTAAAGCGTCATGGATAACTACGACGTGTTGTGACCATTATGGTAGACATGAATAGACAAAAGGGTACTTGTGTCCGATGTTAAAGGCTCAATACCACTCTTTTTGTAACTGAATAATATGTCCCAATCTTTATTCTGGTCAACAAATTGTACTATTTTACAGTATTCCAATTAATTGATGATACAAATTTCATCTTAACACACCTAATTTAAAAAATTGGAAAAATTCAACTAAATGATTTCAAAAGCTTAACGTAAACCATTTCAAATGTGACTTGAATTTTAGAAATATTTTCGAACCCTCTGGACAAGTAAAATAGGATGTAATGGATAATTTACACAACAGGTAGGACACTTAAACATCTAATACTTAGAATAAGGCTAATATTTATTTACTTCAGCTGTCAAGCCAGCAAGAGTGTTATTGTCCCTTTAAGGCAGGACTCATTGGAGTTCAACACCAGATGGAAACCTTCTCATTTTATTTCTGTACGAAAGCAGCGTGTCTTGTTCTGAAAATGACAGACAATCTTTCGAAAACATTGCAGCATGGATACATGTCAGCGTCTGAAGGCCTAGAGATAGCCAAAGGTACACTGGCACTCGAAAAGATGAGATCAGACACTGAGTGGGATGTATTTTCGAATTTCGTTTGTCAGGAAGCCACAAAACTAGGACTTCCAACATCCACTTTACCACGACAGAAAAGAAGGCCTAGTAGATTAGAGTATGGCACAACCGCACCAGAATATCCAGCCACGCCCGAAGGTCACTTTCACCGAGTATGGAACGAAATCTTTGATACGGCAAAGGAGGGTATCAAACGACGTTTTGACCAGCCTGGCTACCAACAGCTTAAGAACCTCGAAACTTTATTACAAAGGGGGGCAAATGGCGACCAGATCGAAGAAGAGATTCAAACAGCGGTCAAGACTTACGATGGTGATTT